CAATTCTGCTACTGATGCTGTAATACCTTTCAATTGCCTAAACAGGAATCACCGGAGGGCATCTGTCTGAGTCTAAATTATGTTTAAAAACCATCTGGCATGTTGTGGGATAGTCCTAATAATAACAATGAACACTTTATCGGGAGTTTAGTCACCATGCTTGGTTTCCAGTATAATTCTCTTATTAGTTGCATATATATATTTCATATAGCCAAGGGGTTAATGCTGCGTGCAGATACTGTATAGGACTGTTGTGCCAACAGCTCACATTTGGACTCATTTATCATTCAAAATCTAGCTATAAAGAAACACATTTAAATAATAAAAATAATTACCAAGATGAAAGACATAGATCAGTGTTAATTGCGTCCTAGACCTGTTTCCTGCTTCTGCATGGGAGCGGAATGAGGAAAGGAGTAAATGGGAATGGCAGTCACAGGAGTAAGGTGCTTTCCCTTAAGGTGCTTTTGACCTGTTGAAGGGGTCTCTTTTCATACTTAGCACAGACATCCATCAGCAAGGACAATGCAGAGCTGCCTGGGCCTGAAGCGTAGAAAGAAAAATGCTCCAGAAGGTCGTTGGTCTTCCCTGGTTCCTCACAGGAACTCGCTTATTTTCCTGTAGGAAGAGCTCAGAGTATTTTGTGAACCTGAGAATATATTGTTTCCTAGAACCTTAATGAGATTCAGAGATAATACTGTACTTTTGCATGTTTAAGTAGTATTGAACTAGACCTTCAGCTAGCAGTGACTGGCACAGCACTAGTGATTTTGAACCCTTGCTGAAATCTGTCCAAACCTAGCTGTGTTCTCAGATGTTTGTCAGGTGCACCCCAACCCAGCAGTTACATGTGACCATGGTGCCTTGGCTGTCCCTCAGGTTTAGTCTGTGTTGCCTTACTGGTGACACACAGCTATTAGGGGTTTGTCACTGTGAGCACAGAGCATCCTCAGTGGGGTCCTCAGCATGTTAGACTGGTGCCAGATGTACCCATCATGTTGCCAAAAGTATCGTAAGAGACAGCTTTAACTTTACATTGGCAAAGGCTGGGATAATGTGCAGAAGCCATGGCAGAAACACAAGTAAATGATTTGCCTGAGATGATGCAGAAGGGCTAGTGGCAAAACGTGGAGGAAGCTCTGGTCTCGTCTGAGTTTGTGTATTGGCCCCAGGATGTTCTCCTGCTCTCCTCCACCCAAAGGCATATGAAATTGCGTGGTTTGAGGATCTTTGCTTTTGCGTTGGCAGCAGAGAAGAGCTCAAGATTGACTAAACCACCGAAACTAATAAACTTCTCATGTGCATGGAGGGGCATTAGATTAATTAGTTTGCTGAGCAGCGGAGCTGGAGCTGTGCAACTGTCTGACAATGATAAGAGGAGGGAGCTGGAAACCAGCACCCTTTTGGTCGTCTGCTCCTTCTTTCCATCTCAACTCCCTATAAATGACAGATGAGAAGAACAGAGGTAGTGAGCCAAACATATGCAACCTATGCTCCCACAGCTGACACTGAAGGGAAGTTTCACTGGTGGTTTCTGTGGGAGCAGAGGGACATTGGTGCGGGGAGCTTTTGAAAATCCACTTCTAAAACGCAAATACTTTCCTTCTTTAACACTCAAACAAACACAAAACACTCACAGCTCAGACACGCTGTGGATTTTGGTTCTCCCTCCCCTTTTTTTTTCTTTTTGTTTCCCTTGCATAAAGCAATTTGCCCCTTAGTTTGCCACAGAGAACTTAATTAACAATTTCATAAAAATCTTTGGTCTTCAATGCTTAGATAAATGCTGCTTATGTATTAAGTAGACACTGCGAATGTACCCGGGCAGACAAGTTGTGTCAGCACAAAAACTGGTGAAATTTTGATCCTTTTGTTAGCACTCTCCCTGGGAGCTGTTCAGAGCAGGGTAGACAGACAGCTCTTGGGAGCTGTTTGGGTGTAGCTTGTCCTACCTTGGGGGCAGAGAGACTAGCACACTCCACTAAACCTTTTCAGCCTTTCTAGCTCCCTTTTCTATCATTAAAGGATGTGAATTTTTTGATGCAAAAAATACTTGGTTGAGTAAGCTGGAGTTGAGTAAGCTGTCTGGCAAGATGCACAGGACCATGTCAGCTGCTGGTATGCCCTGGTTTAGATACTTAACACCTGTGCTAAAGGATTTGTAAACTCAGCAGAGTTGCTTAAATTTAAAATGCATTTAAATACACAAAAGTCTGGGACCTGAAAGGAGAGGGAGCTAGAATGCATGGCTTCTGGAGGCTTACTCTCAGACTCTGGCTCCCCCGGCTGGAGCCGGTGTGGGAGAAGGCACGGTGGGGACCCAGGGACAGGAGTCTAAGTTGTCACCCAGCAATAAAGGCTTCTACAGTATCTGCTTGCTCTTCATTGATAACTAAGTACCTCTAAGTACCTTATAAGTACCATCTCCTTATAGGTTGCTGTACAGTAAACAGGTGCTGCTCTGGAGAATGATTAAATTGTGTGATTCCTTTTTTTTTTACATGCTTATAAAAAATTAAATTAATTAAGCAGTTGCAAACGTGAGGGTGAACACTTGGAAGATGAAAACTGGCCATGCAGAAGCCAGGCTGAAAGAAGTTGCAAGGGAACACATCAGGGGTCTGAGCTCATTTAAGTAATGTAAAATGTGGTTTAGAGCTAAGCCTAATTTAGCATGCCTGCAGGCTGCTGTGCACTAAGTGCTCTCAGCCTTCCTCATCATCTCCAGATCCGGATTCCTTCCCTCTCTGTGTGCTGCATCTGATGATTTATATAGCCATGTAATGAATCCAATCATCCCTGTTACCCACCAGAAGACTCTCTCCATGTTTATTAATAGTTTACTGCCCCATCAGATCAGCAGATTGAGCTGTGCATCCCATGATGCCCGTCCAGCAGAATGGAAGTGGCAGCAGTGTGCAGTCTGGGTTGAGAGGAGGAGGAAGAGAGGGGAACATGAGCAGCCCATTCAGCAGCAGCGTACACTTTATATCAACTTTATTGTAATGCGAAACTGAACACAAATTCAGTGCATATATGAGGCCTTGTCATTCATGAGAATGGAAGGTTTCACAGATTTTAGTGTGAGATTATTTTCTGCCTGGAACAGAAGCTGTGGGACTGCAGTGGCATGAGCAATGTTGTTTGCACGAGTGCCACTGGCCACCCAAAATTACGTGAGTTTACCTGGCAACACTGCAGGAGTTTAGCACATTGAAAAGCTGGGTGAATAGCTGTTGAACCTTGTACAACAAGTGTATTCGGTAGAATTGTGCTATTTGACCAGCAAACCAGTGTCCTTTATTTTAAATAATTTTTTACTGTTCCTAGAAGTTCCGTTTTGAAGTTTCTACTTCATAGGATGAAAGGGTTGCCAACACTTTAATCCTTGGAGAGAGAAGACTGCCTCCCAGCAAGAGCCCAGTTTTGCTGTAATCCTTCATGTTTTTAACACTGTGCAATACTTTGCCAAACTCCAGAGAAGAGAAATAAAAGTGGAACATTCTGGCCTTTTGGTGGCTGTTAATCAGCAGCAAAACAATTTTCAGACAATTAACAAATCTCCAGGCCCTTTGGAAGCTCAGATTATAGCTATTTCTAGGTTGTCACATCTAATTAATACAAGTAGTAACAGTAATACTCCTGTTGGTGTTCTGCTTTGGCCATGGCTCGGCTTGCAAGTCTGAGACCTGATCCTTAAGAGTGTCTTTAAAGCCAGGTAAAACCTTTTTGGGTTTGGTAAGGGTGTGGGAATTAACTAGCACAGGTAGCATTTATTGCTGTACAGTGGCTTCAGGGAGTGACGTTGTACTACAGAGGATCTTTCTTTACAGTCATCTGGGGTCTTAAAAGCCTTAGTATCAAATCCTAATTTTAAGCAATTAAGGTTCTAGGAGAGGTTGCAGCATAAAAATGCTATAAAATATAGCTTACTTTAATTGCATATATTAGGAAAACTGTATTTAAAAAAAATTGCTGTTTTGCTTTGTTATTTAGGAAATCACACTTTGTATCACCAGAGAAGTATGCTGGGAGAGTCCTTTTAATTCTCCTAAGGGTTATATGTATACTTGAAGGAGAAAAGTTGTGTGTGATGAAAAGAGTTTTTGTTCTGAATTTCTTCCACTGCTGTAAAGCTGTGGTTGGAGCTGTGCTGGCATGCATTCAGGAGTCTGTCTGTTTTCGTCCCCTTGCAGCACACTAATATCTCCCATCTGAAAGCCTGAAATGGAAGCCCTTAGTTTCTGTGATTTGGGATTTGATCAAGTGTTAAGGAAACTTTTCTGTCTGACCATCCAGGAGCCACTCTGGCATTTGCACTACCTGAGCTGAGCCCGAAGCCCCTCTGCAGTGGGTGGGTCTAGGGAGCCGATAGGTGCCCTGCTTGACTCCCTACACACCCACACTCACACAGTCGGACAAGGCTTCTGGGTTTCCCACAGCAGAGCCTCAGTCATCTCAATCCTTAAAATAGCACCTCGACCTGAGTGCCTTTGAGGATGGACCCAAACAAAGGAAACCCTGGGCTTTTATACCCTAACAGTCTAAGTGCACAAAAGTCTGGGGTCCTGGGCTCCTGCCGCGTCTCTGAGTGTCTGGTCACCTGGCTGGGCCACAGGTCCCGGTACCCTTCGTTGTGCAAAGAGTCGGCAGTTCACAGCCTCTTGCCTGGGGCTCCCTCCACCCAGAGCTCAATCTGAAGCTGGCACTGCAGCTGCACACCCAGCTACCTGCTCTGAATGTATTCCTCAGCACTAACCTGTGGTTAACATTGGCTCAGTCTGAGCTGAGATTTGGTAATGAATTGTCTACTCTTTGGTAATCCCTGGTAACAGCGAGTAAAACAGATTCTCTGAAAGCACTGCTGAGGGCTGAATAACTGAGATTGGAAAGGGTGGAAATAGCAAAAAATGCCCAAGATGACTGTGAGTGGCTGAACTTGTGAGCTTTTGAGCCTTCTTCAGCGGAGTTTTGATACAATCTGGTGTTTCTCTTTATAGCGCTTCCACTTCGCACTCGGACCATTCTACTCACACCAAATCTGTTTCTGCTATATCGTCCGACTCGATCTCCACCTCAGCAGACAACTTCTCTCCAGATTTAAGGGTATGTATGTTTTGTCTTAAAAAAAAGAAAAAAAAATGTTGTAACCTCCTTCAGAGGATGTCTTGCTTCTGTGAGTTGGATATGGTAAAATAATGTCAGCTTTCAATAATGCCAAAATTTATGTAGCCAAATCATGAAAGGACCTGAAGTCAAACAGGTGACATTGAAGTTTTATTTCTACCATATTATCTCCTTTATAAAGTTATTTAATCTTCAAAGAGCTGACTCTGCAACCCTCACTTGGAGATGAATTTTCAAAGGAACTCCCATTTTCTTTTAGGTACTTTAAGTAAGTGAAATCCTCAACCTGTCAGTTGTATATAGTTTTTTTCCTGTTGTGTGTATAAGTAAGAGATGTCCTCTCTTGAGAACTCCTGCTTGTTTGTAAACACTGAGTCCTTGGAGTATCTTCTTTCAGACAAAGATTGCTATCTCCAAGCTGATAAAAATAATCTTTTGTCACAATGAATTGCTCTGACATTAAAAAGGTCCAAACAGGGCTCTTTTAAGTCTGTGATTAGAGTAGTTAATTATAAATTCAAAGTTCTAGTTCAGTGTCACAAGAGTTTTGAAAGCTATCTTTATGTTCCTTTTATGAAACCAAGGGGTTTGATGATATATCTTTGCTTTGAAAAAAACATCCCTGAGTATAAAACTGTTGATACTGGTACATTCTAATAATGATCCGACCATTTCTCGGCTGTGGTTGAGAATCTTTGTAAAATTTAAACACAGTAAAATTGCATAAAAATATCTGAATACAAAGCTAATTCCTTTGACAACCATGATGATTTTTTTCCTGTGTGTGTTGTCTCAGTCATCCATAATTAATAACAGAAAGTTCATAAATTACAAGAATATGAATGTTTCTTTCTAAAGGCAGCTTATTAGCCAATTTTAAACTAGGATTTTAAACAATAATTTATGTGCAGTCTGTGATAGTTTACACCTTTTACCTATGGATACAAAAAGTAATCTTTCAAACCCTGAGATTAGCTCAGCTGGTTACAGCATTGTGCTTATAATGTCAAGGTTGTGGGTTTGGTCCCCGTATGGGCCATTCACTTAAGAGTTGGACTTGATGATCCTTGTGGGTCCCTTCCAACTCAGACTACTCTGTGATCTGTGAGCATGCCTGGGTATGGAAGTTTGTTATATGTCTAAAATTTTTCCCGCTGTGAAGTTGGGGTGTTAGTTACTCCAACATACAGAAAACATAATTTTTAGACTGAGGCTAAGTGATTAATTGATACGAATAAGATTCAAATACTGCTACAACTCTTAATTGTATAATGTATTATATATATTATATAATATTATAAAAAATTAAACTCATTTTAATTTCTTGATTTTTACTGAAATTTGCAAATTTGGTTTTCCTTTTCTAGTTTTGATGCACAACTGATCTCCCTTTTCACAGTTTTTGTGACACTTGAGGACTACCTTTAGAAGTAGAAAACTAAGCAATATTTCCTTTTTAGAATCAAGGTTGCCTTTCCCTCCTGGTAGTTAAGATGGCTCAACATGTTTTCCTTCTAACTATGATTGCCACTTGTGACTCTTTTCCCCCCTTTTGTCACTTTATCTGTGTGTACTGTAATCTGTCTGGGCAGGGATCCCAGCTCTCCTGAGCTTGTCTGATTCCCCATCCAACAGAGCCTCTGTACCCATTAGAAATCCAAAACAATGTCCACAGAGGAATGTTCACTTAGCTGCATGATAGATTCTTCAAGGAGAAGATGCCTATGTATTGCTTACTGGAGGCCATTAGAAGCCCATAATTCCATACTGTGCCACAGTTCCCGTAATTTGCAGAGTGGTTTCTTCACAGCCTGCCCTCCTCTTTTTATTTCTAAGCAAACTGAAGTTCTGCAAATGCTGCTCTCTTTCATTTAGAATAGTGTTTCAGAAGAGATGGTAAAGCAGAGAATTACTTATTTAGAATAAAGGCACTGCAGGCCAAGTGTGAGCACCTGCTTCTGCTGGCAAAATTCTTATTGTTCTTCACCTGCATCAATTCCGTGTGCCCTGAATTCGACACAAGCTTCCTGTGCTTCACCTAAAAACTTATTCTTGCAGAGGTGGTGTGAGTGGCTGTGATGCAGTTGTGTGTAGGTGTAAAGCTGGTTCTTGCCTTTACACTCAAGTGGCTATTTGTCAGTGATAGACCTAGAGAAGATGAATTCCCACACTCCTGCTTGTATTAGGGTATAGGGAGAAAGGGGCAGTTTCCACTACTACATGTTGACCTTACCTCTCCTAGAGGAATTTATGCATTCATCATTGCGCTCTTCATTCCTGAGAGTGTCTCATGCTGGAGAACAAGCCTGGGAGGTGAGATGAAGATCAATTCTCTACCTATGGACAGCCTCTTGTGTTGGTATTGCCAGTGCAACTGCAGACTCACAAGTCTGTCCTCAAATCCGTCACTGTCGGTGCTAATATGTTACTGTTTGCCTCCTGGGCTTCCTCTTGGAGCCTATTGCCACCTCTGATATGGAACAGTTCATATGAGTGGTGGTCAGCTGACACTGATTTCTTTCAGGTCTTGAGTCGAGGACGATGGATGTCCTTTCCCTGAGCTTATCATTCTTTGTCCGACTTTCTGCGAATTAACATCTCTGTCGTGTGACAGGTCTGCAAGTTTTTAAAGTCAGTTCTGTGAGAGATTTTTCAAGGTCCTCGTTGTTCTTACTATTTTCTTTGTTCTTTATGAGATGTGGCCTTGCCTTTGATATTACGGATGAGGTCATACCAATAACTGATACAGTGGCTCGAGCTTGTTCTCTGTTACAGCTCTCTCCTTGCACACCTGAATGTCTGGTGTAGGTTTGATTGTCACAAGACAGCACGAACTCCCAACTCTTGACAGGTACTGAGATTTGAGCTAAGCACCTCATTACTGTGGGACAAAAAGAAGTCCCACATTGTTCCTGGAAGAATGTAAGAGAATAAGCCCTGAAGAGGGAACTAATGCATTTTGTGGTAACTCTGTGGTATGGCAGGCAAGTGCCTGGGCTACACATTGTTCTCACAGGAAGGTGTTGCATCAGTTAGCTTTAAGAGGCTGAAAATAAGCTTTTCAAGATTTTGACGCGTATCTGCCAGTTATGGGATTATGCTCTCGATGTATATTAAATTTTTTCCTGCTAGAATGAATTGCTACATGGATCCATCATCACTCCTACCTCTACTTGGTCTCTGCCTCTGCGTGTGCATTGGCTCAAATTTAGGAATTAAATTTCTGTGATGATGGAAAAACACTTTGTCATGGCTACAATTAGCACTCTCTTTTTCTGTAGGGAATTTTTAGAAGAATAGTAGGTGTCCGTTGGGAGGAGAGAACCAGGGGATGGACCCACCTAATTTCTTGCAGTCTGTGCCTACAGTTTTCTTTTGGAGTGCAATTAACACTCTGTGTGTGTGCATGCATATGTGTAATGAGGTAAATGAGGCAACCACGGGGGATTCCTACTGAATACATGAGCAGTATTTTTCCTAAATTTTTCTCCAAAGTATTTAATAATAACCTTTATGAAGGTTTTTGGGGTTTTTTTTTGTTTGTTTGTTTGATTGGTTTTTTTAATGTATATTGAGCATTTCAGTATCTGGAACTAAGATTAAATTGCCTTTCCACTAGAAAATTTATAGAATTTTCACTTCATAAACTAACTTTAGGTAACTTTTGGCTCCTTCAGCTAGTTTCATAGGAAAAAAAAAAGAAGGGAAAAAAATCCCCAACCCCCAACAGAAAAACAACAAAGCATTATTAGGTTCTCCCTCCACCCCTTTCCTGATCTCAAATCTGAAGCTCTTTAGAATTGATTTAGGGAATATACTTTTTGAGGGAATTTTTAGCAAATACACTGCCATATGTTTTAACATAAGTTATAGATCAGGCAAGAACAGAATTGAAGTAGTTGGAAGTGAAAATGGAGTTGGAAATTCATAGATACTTTGTAATTTGGGCTGAGATGTTAAAAACACCTTAAAGCCAATATTGCCAAAGGGATTGAGGTGTATAAACAGCTATTACAGATCTGGGAACTTGATGGTTAATAAAATACAGTGAGTTTCTTGCTCCTAAGTCCTATAAGGTAGTATTTTCTCCTGTGCATATGGGGAGATGTGTCCATGCATTTTATAGTACTTAAGTCTTCTTACTGATGTTCTAACTTCTATCCATAGGGATTTTCATTTTGAATTAGTTGTTGCTTTATAGGATAATGCCTGAAGTTTACTATGTTCAAGTCTTTGGCGTAGCCCTCATGAAGGTGTTGGATCCTCCTCATTTGCAGTTGAGAAGCAGTGGATGTGGCCAGCAGAGCCTGCTGCCACTTCCCTTATGAACAGTACCTTTGCCTGATAATTTGTTAAGGCCTATTGTGTTTGCTTTTGGATTGTATACAGCAAAAGCTTAAACCGGAGGACAGAAACTCGTATGGGGTTTTTTAATATTGCTTTTTGCATCTAGTCCATTCTCTGGACAGGGGAAATCAGTACAGCAGACCTGTATGTCACCTGCTTAGTTTGTAGCCTTCAGAAAAAGTGATTCAAATATTTGTTCTTAGCTGTGCTGTTTGGGACCACTAAAACATTCTCCCCTTTGAGGGCAACATTAAGATCCACAATTCCTTATGTTCCTCTGAAGTTCAGAAAAAATGCTGTACAAGCACAAGACCCATCCTTCATGACTGTTTGCTCCCTCTATAGTAATTTTCTTCTTTAACGTATGAACAATCGGTGGATTTGCAGTGGGTTTATATGAGACATGCAGGAGCATTATTGTAGCATTCCCAGGACTTGAAGGTTAGAAATGGGAAGAAACAGACTGGCTGGTGTAACCTTAATTTATCTGTTGTGTGTATGGTCACACAACATGCCCATATGGTTTATTTTGTAAGATACATAACTGATGTGTGACAAAAGGTATATGAAGGAGTATTTTCCTTCTAAGATAGTAAATGGATGCCATTGTCATCTCCTTAGGTTTCATGGAT